CGTCTCTCTCAAAGAGTTCCAGTGTTCTTCCATGCTGCTTTCTTCAGGGATGTTACTGAGTGTCTCCCATTTATTGCTGATGGATGGCTGATGTCAAGATTTCCTTTGTAGTTTCGTCCTTCGCCAAATCGTTGAATGCGCAGAAGTCTGCAAACACTTCTCCTTTCTCATTCATCATATCACCGAGTGCCTCTCGACCCATGATTGCTTCTCTTCACGTGTTGTCTGCTCCCAGTTTGACTGGCATTCATGTCACCTCACCCATTAGAATGAATTTTGATGTCGTCATCTGAGGTGGGCTCTTCTCCACTACTGATTGCAGTTGTCTATAGAATTCCTCCTCCTTCTCTTTGTCTGCATTATTTGTAGGTGCGTAGCGTTGCATTGTATGATTGTAACTTTCTTTCCTTTCTATTTGAATCTTGGTGTCGTGATCCTGATCCTGTAGGAGTAGATTGGTTCCCACTGCATGAGAGAGAGCCTTCGAGGCTGTTGAGGGGAGATCATGATAGCGACTGCGAACATGAGTGTGCTCGTGGTTGTCGTCTGTGTGACAATATCGGAGTGGATTATTGACTCTTCAGTTGACAGTTTGAAGAGTCCACTTCCATTCCATCTACTTTTGCATATTCCTAGCTCTTCTACGCCATACTATCTTATCTCTTTGGCAGTCTGGACAGCCTTACTAGGTTCATACATGGTGCGGACATTCCATGCTCCCGTGTTGACTTTCGTTTTCACAGAGAGAAGACACACCGGGTGACTGGCTTACCGAAGGCTCTCAACAACCAGCGTCCTTTGGTCTCTCCGATTGCAGGGAGGAATAATTTTGTTATTATTTTTTATATTTTCCTTGTGCTTTGAAGTTTGTTTAGCGACTGGTTTGGTTTTCCGGGATAGGCTTGCTAGTGCTATTCCCAACCTTCTCTGTTTACTTGGGCTTAGGACCGGCCGGCGACTAGTGAACTAGTTAACTAGACACGGTTTGTCCTGTTGAGTCATGCGCTTTTTATGAAAGCGCAAATACTCTACTGATTTCTTTTCTTTAAATATACTTTCATATGTTTACGAATTGCTGAACACTAATTTATTACGTGTAAACATTTTAATTGCAGTTGACTTCCCACGTGACACCTGGAAAATCTTATACAAGTGGATAAACTAGAAAACCTTCGTTTACACGCTCAGCCATCAATATTCTTCTTCTTTCTCTAGGAAAATTCTGACGCTTGCAAATCATTAAATTGCACATCTTTTTTTACACTAACCATTTTAGTTTATTCATTGTTGTAATTTGGGTGTTCTCTTCCTTCTTTAGACACAGTTCAATATCATATCATATTTAATTTCAAGATGAGTAGCGAGAATTTTCGATGTAAAATATAAGAATATGAAACATCATTAGTACCAATAAAACTGAAATACTGAAACAAATAGAAACGAGTATGATGAGTAGAATTGAGAGGAGAACAGTAAGAAAGATTTTAATAGGCATGAAAGTAGGATTCGAAGTTATATCATTTTTTAGATTCACAGGAAAGTGAATAATGACTCTATCTGCACTACTTATATTCAATTTTAGCTGAGTTCAGCTCTTTGGAACTTCTTATCTAACCCTGTTTTACATCCCACTTAGGAAACCAATAATATCTGACAATGTTCATCCCAAAATCAACAGCTTTGAGTTGGTGCTGCATCATGTGTGTGCTTGGCACCCTAGTAGTCGCATATTTCAAACCTTACTCACAGACCAACGTTCTCTATCGTTCTCCCTACCTAAGACCTTAATATTTCTAATTTGGTGGTTTTCTGCTTTCTTGGTAAGTTTCTGTATCAAATCAGCAACTGTGGTGGTCACTTTGATCCAAGAGGTAGTCCAAATTAAATTGTTCACATAAACAACACCATTTTCGTTGATACATTGTGTGGTATTATCCATCTTCACGAGTATGCTGGTGGGCTTATCAGTAAAGTTATTCACAGCTCTCACAATCTTTGTTGGCTGTAGTATACACAGTTTACCACTAGAAAAGAAACGAAATAGTAAAAATACCTTATGACTGACAAATAGAATTAATATTCTACTCTGAATGTCACAATATTGCATAGAAATTCTTTAGAAATATCAGGTGGTAGTGTTGCTCTAAACTAAATTTTCATAGTGTCCGTAAATTAGAATATTTTGTAGAACCTACTTAGTGTACAAATAAGTGATACACACAAAGAGAGTGAGAAAGACAAGGAGAATGCCAGTTTAATTTGCATAAACATAATACATATATATGCTTCAGAGGGTGTGTTGTTTGTAATTACACTAACAAAAGCAACAGACTATTAAAGCAGATTAATTGTTAATTTGTGTTTAAATAAACACGTTTTAATTAAGTTTGCATTATAGCCATAAAAATAAACAAATATTATCCTAGTTTTAATAATAATGAGCATTAGTAAATATCTAAGAAAAATATATTTTCTTATACTTTCCATTGAAAAACATTTATTTGATGAAAACCCTTAAGTGGGTGTATATTTGCTACTTATCATCTTACATATAATTAGCTACCTAAATACATAAAGTTGTTAGAATTCCATGGTTCTAAAGTGTCTTTAAGACGTCAGTTATGTATTACAACAAGCTGTAAAACTTTATATTGCCCAGAATCTTGCAATAGTGATATAGTTCTAGTTTCTAATTACCAGTATGTTTAATCAGCAGATATTTGCAACCTGCAAACGAATTGTTCAAAAAAGTCCAAAAAATACTAAAAGCTGTGAGTTAAAAACATCCGGTCAGTAAGAGATTCAATGCAATAACAGTTCATTTTGTTAAATGATATCACAACAGGTTCATTGATAACTGAATCAAAAGTGTATCTTGAAAATGTGTTATTATAATATGCTCTCCTTACCGGCAATTTAACAAACAAGGGAAAACTGGAGAGGCTAAAATTATTAATATTAGTTTTAATGAAGCATGAATATTTTATGAGATACATGTTATATTCTGTTTTTGTAAAAGACACTTAGCTTCCCTTAGATTCACTTTTATTTTAAATTTACAAATAGGCACTGAATGCTTCAAATAATCCAATAACGTTACATTTGTCAATGCTAAACATAATGTGAAAGTCAAAGCAATCAAGCTTAAATGCTATTTTCATCCCAAGGTAGACCACGAAATGAACAATTACCGTAAAAAGAAAAGTAATAAATATCTAACTAGCATGCGTTGTGCAGTTCATTTTAAAATGTTCTCAAGGCCTTTTTGAATCATGTAACCAACTTCCATAAATAAACGTTACTACATCTGAATATCATATAAACAAACGTCAATATACGGTGTTTATATACATACATTAGCATATCAGGATATATATACAGGTTGGTCTTAAATAGTCTGAAGATTTCTTTACTAGATTCCAGCTTGCTTAAATATCATTTTTCCCGCCTTAAATTCAGTCGCAAACATGCTTCTTAATCTCTTGTTTCCCCTATGCTTATCTGTTTTGTCGGTTTCTATCTAAAACTTTTGTTATCGAATTCTTTTGCTTGGTTGCCACTGCCAACGGAAATATCCGATCAATAGGTAATAAAGCTATCTATCAGTTGAAATAATTTTTTGAATATGATTAGAAGCTGCTAAGTTCAGTACCGAGTATTTTCTTCTCAATATCCACTGGTACTCAATTGCCTTTCGTTTGTTTGCATGCAAGAGAAATAAGGTTTGATGTCAAAAGTTGGTGACAAGCCGTCGTAATAACTATTAAATTGTCTATGAGATGATGAAATAAAGAGTATTTAACACAATGAAAAGCTTTAACCGAATGCACTAAATCGTAACTTTTTATGCAAGTCAGTTATTAACCTAGAACAATGAGTCTGAGTTTTAAATCAGTTGAACTGACATTGAAATACTGAAATCACTAACTGTTTCACGTGCTCAATCTACATATTTTCTTTTCAGACCAGCGTAGTTGCTTAAAATCATAAATTTTTAAACGGGGCGAAATAAGAAGTTGTGATTGTTCTTCGCTTATTTTAAAGACTGAAATGAACAACAAATCGTCTCAAAATTGCTTCTGGTTACTACCAGTGACTATTGAAAAGTATTACAAATAATTCCTTAAATTAAAATTAATCTAACATGACTTCAGGAACTTTGCAGTTAGCAAAAGGGAAAATTACAGTATACGCATTTTGTGGCTTTTGTGATCTAGTTTACTTCACAGCCTATTTTTACGAAATGATATGAACCTTATTCACTGTTTATGAATATTATTAGACCATTTCATACCGGTAGTGGGTCTGCTATCAAATACATAACTATGCCTCTGTATATGATATGATATTTTTGTTGTGAAGTTTACGATAGAATTGATCAGTCCTTTTGGCAGGAATATCATGACTGATTTCGTTATTAATAGTTGATAATATTCTGTCCAACACATAGGCTAGCTTTGGAATCTATATAACACAAATCACTAAACTTACCAACATTCAGCTGTACGGACTTGAGACCAAATTCGTTTTGATATTTTCAGTTACTGCGGATACAGATCAGTCTAGTGAATACATGTGAGGGATGCAATATTCAGTTAATGGTAAGAATATCAACACATTGTGATACTGGCACATCCAGCCAAACATTATTAAACAAGACAGAGTCCGTGTCATAAAGTTTACCCCAAACCACTACTAGAAAAATTAACAAAGTTTTCCAATGACCAAACGGGTTTTATTTTAATATTCAAAAAATTATTCAGACAATAAACGACATAAATATAAGAAATGGAAAAAGAATACGCTTACTTACATGCATATCATGGGTATCATTTCTGAAATGTCCGTATTCAAATCAAAATATACTTTCACTGTTTTCGGTAATTTAATCTGCACTTGTTCGCTGACAATCCCTCCAGGAAATGCAATGATCAACGCTAGTAATCCAGCAGCAACTAATAAACATTTTACCCGACACGGTACACTAACCGTTGATTCAGTTAAATGTTTACCATTTGACTAATACCAACACTACGATTTAAACAAATGGCAACAAGTAGAAAATTGTTTAATGCAACAATGAAGTAGATGAGGAATGCAGAGATTTTACACATAGCATTGCCCAATAACCAATTTTTATAGACTGCTGTATACGCTGTATACGGTACACCAAACCATGCTAATGCTAAATCACACAAAACGCGTATTACTAACATTCTTCTGTTGGCTAACGACTTAGGATTACGCGATTTGTGTATTGTATGTATCAACAATAAGTTAATAAATGTGCCAAATACTAGTATTAATATGTACAGTGCGAGTAGTACCCGTTTGTATGGATTTTTTAGTAAGGTGTTCACATAATTATTGAAGAAATAATAAATTTGTCTAGATGTATTCGTCGTGGAGAGATTCCGTAAACTCCACTCTAATATCAGTTGAATATCCTGTGAAACATTTTCATTCTGAATATTCAGTGGTATAACTGACTGGTTACTCTTAATGAATGATTCTTCCATACCTATATCAGTTTTTAATGTTGCTGCTACTTGTTTGAAATAGTAAGTGATAGAAGACTAAAGTGGTAGTTACTTGACATGTATTTTAGCTATGAGTATGTATGTGTATTATTCGACAGGATACTGTAGAGATTGTTCATTTCTATGTATCATGTTGTTTGACTGTACTGATCCTTATACACAGACTTCAGTTATCTAATACATATCTGCTATATTATTAACTGAGAAGAAGCTCAATAAGAAATCTTTTAACCCAATCAGATGGGAGTAAATTATAAGCGATTCGGGGAAACATTTGTGCTATCATTGGTTAATAATATTATGTTTGCTTCCACCAACAGTTTGTTAACAAGCTAAAAACTGAAATACTTTTATTTGAAACAGAAGAAATAATTTGAAGACTGTTAGCTGCATTAGTCGACAACAATGGGTCAACTCCGTTGAGTTATGCAATGATTATCCAGTTCGATTCTAGGGAATGGATGTAAAAGTCGACCATCATATATACATATATATATATATATATATATATATATATATAGAGAGAGAGAGAGAGAGAGAGAGAGAGAGAGAGAAAGAGATTCAATACGCAGGTAGACTACAAGCTTTCCTTAGTGCATGAAATTCACCACTTTTCGCACTTAGCAGAGCTTTTGTAGTTAAATGTTATACAATTTACTAAATTCTACGAAAGAAATTTGACAGTTTCATTCTCTGCTTCATTTCTTTGAAGGTGTAACAACATGAGAGCAAAAGAAAGTAACAAAGCTTGTGAACTACCATATTTGTGTGACAGAAGTCTCCTAAGTGAACAGTGATCACTGCATTAGGTTAATTAGGTCTCCGTAAATAGAATCACTTGATCTCAAATTTTGTGAACACAGGAAAATCAGAAAACAGGATGCAAAACAACCCAGTGGATCTACGGACTAAGAGTTTTGATAAATTTCGTTTAAAGCTGTTAGCACTGGCTTCATGTTTTAACACAGCAATAACTGGAGATTTTCTGATCATGTTATCATTTCAAATTGTTGGTTTTTTTCCAGTTATTAATTCGGCATGTAATGTGGAGTCTATTCTTTCTAGGGAAACTAAGTTATTACATACTTTCTGCATGTATAACCTCCATGACAAGGTAGATTGCAGTGTAAACACATTGTCTCTCATTTGCATCTGACTGGAACAGTTATTGGGTATTTTTCAATTTAATATATTGGATTTTAACGTTTGATGCTTTAGACGGTACTAGAAGCTCATACCGATAACAGTAAACATTGCAGTATTATACAAGGTGATTTAAGGTTAGCGTTATTATATTCTCCATACCACGTGACAACTGTTAATCATATAACCAAAGAGACTGCCAGTTTATGGTTTTCTTTCTCTAGTTTCTCCACACAGATCCCCTTGCTTCCTAATGATAATGAATATGCCTTATAAGCTAACAATATGCAAAGGAAACGTTTAGTTAAACAGGGATGTATTCTATTTTATATTGATCTATTTGATAAAGCATACTGCGATACAGTATTATTTACTGTTTCCTATGACAAATAAACCGATTCGACATGAAACTACACTCCTAAACAGCTCATAAATTAAACAATTACACCTATGAATTTTGAGCTCGCTTTTAAAGGATAAAACAGACCTGGGATATGTAAGTTATGAAATAGGGATTCAGATGAACTGACACTCAACTAAACTGTAGCAACTGTTCATAATGAAGTAGGTAAATACTAAGATTTCATTTCATCTATCATTTGTATATATAAAAACATTAAGTGAAGTGCAGGTTAGTTGAGAAACAAAATAAAAATTCCTGAAGCAACAACTATGGAAAATTTTAGTTTACAGTGTAACTTTTAAAAATTTTCAAGCTTCTACAAATATTTCGACCATGCATTCATTGTAATAAACAGCTACTAGATATATGTTTTACAGTTTCAGACTCCTTTTTCACAAATCTAGTTGTAGGAATTAAAGCGATCGGAATAACGTCATATGATTTACTTACCTCGACCTGATTTTTCACTTATTTAATGAGCATTCACTGACACTATATTTTGGGGAAAACGCAGTAACACACCTTCATTGTATAGGTCGTTTTTTATGAAAGATTATATACTTTTAGTTTATGCTTTGAATACTTATCAATCTAAGCTATAAAAAATGGCCTAATGAATTCATGCTCACTTTCAGATGCATTTCAAAATTTTCTGCTACGTCCCATTGATTTTCGTAATAAATTCTGTTGAAATTATGTTGTGTTCAACAGTTTCGTGTTTTAAGAACAGACTTTGAAGAGAATGAGGACAAATGATTCTACACTGCAGGTAGTAGGAGACCAGGTAGCAGCTTTGCTTTCAATGTTCAGTTTTGGTCAGTTTCGATGACGTTTTTCAGTGAACTGAATATATATATCACAAAACTATCACCATTAAAATTGCTAGCTCGACAGATATCACTTAAGGAAAAAACTTATTCATGAATAAGATGGACAAGATTTATCAGCGAAGAAATATTTTTCAATGGATTTATCATCAAACTGTATAGTCAGTTATACGATTAATAAAATGTCAAACAGTCGCACTGGAAAGTTGCTCATCAATCCATGAGTGACAGAATCATTAATGAATTCGTTCCCGTAGAGACATGCAGAAAGGTTAAAAAAGAAGACATCGAGAAGCGGGTCAGGTGCCGTCAGACAGACCTGAAAAAGCATGTTAAGTCAATAAACTACTTAGACCATTATGTGTGTCACCGGTCTATAAAATTCACCAATCAGAAAAAGTGAGTTTCATGTTTCACTTTTACGCGTGACATTAAAGACATGTGATGAGTGACAGCAGAAGTAAGTTAGTCACAAATGAACCTAGACTGAACATTTCATTAACCTTTAGAACTGGGCTTCAGATTTCTCAAAATACACTTATTAGTAACGGATAGCTGAAGAGACCTATTACTAGAAATGTAAAGAGGCAAATTCCCCCCCGCCAAACTTCAGTTCCTGAGGAAATTTCAGTTTTGTTAAGCAACTTCTGGTGCAACAATCTGCTGTTGTGCCAATTATATAGATAACTGCGCAGCCTGATAATGAAGTTAGAAAATATTTTTTGGTGAGAAGTCGTATTCGTTTTATTCAGCTAAGAATCTTATAACTATTTATTGACGTACTTGTAATTCTACGTTGTTTTATTGGATCAAATCGCTCAACCTCTGCTGGCATATGGGCTCGTATGAGAATGCCTCGATATTGCCTGAATGTTAGTTAAGGCACCTTGTTTGGTTTTGGCTAGCAGAAGAATCCAGGATAGGCTTTTCGTCCTACTTGGCACTCGTCAGCTGGATGTACCTGCGCGAGCGTCCTGGAATCTGCCGCTAGCCACAACCAACAAATTACCTTAAAAACACTATGCTTCGGAAAACAAAAACCATACCCAACGTGATATTTAAACTAAGTGATTTTATGAGCAATTATTAGCTGCAGAGAAGGATCTGAAAGCAACGATCGATATTAAGATATCCAACCCAGTGATTATTGTATTTTACCTTTTCCCAATAGGAGTTTTTTCGATGTAATATTTGTAGAAGAAAAATTAACTTCGTGCTAGAATCCTAATTTGTTTAATGTTTCATAGTCAACCCATTTTTTATCAGTAATTTGTTAGTCTTACTCTTCAAAAGTTGATTTCTAAGTTGTATAGCTTTCGTTATCAATAACGGTTTTGACGAAAACCATACCCTTAAGTCAATAAAATAAACTGAATGAAATTTCACATCTGCTGTCGACTTATACACCAAATATATATCCATGTATATGTCACAAAAAAGTTAAATACTAAGTTACCATTTGTTGCCTTCGAAGTAACTGAAACACCTAGTGAAGAAAATTCATTGCAGATAGTAAATGTGAAGATGTTTTCATGTCAAAGTTTAATTTCTGTGTGAAATTCATCCTTCATTTTCGTCCAGTGGCTAGGATGTAAAGATGTGCTGATCTATGTCTTTGCTCCACATTTTCCTCCACTTATTTATCAAATAACAAAGAATGAATGCATTTCTTTACTATAAAACGTATAAAGCATAAATTCTAACTAACAGTCAATGAATGTTTTCTCCCTAGGTGAAGTATTCTTCCCAGACTTCTGTATAATATCACTTAACTTGATTAGTTGTGGATTTGAATATTTCACTATTCTGAAAATTCTAATTTGAAAGCTTCAGATCAGGTTATTCAGGCCGATTATTCTTTATTTTCAGTTATCTCATCAGTGGCTTTCCATTATGGTTAAGTACCTTGTTAACTGTATGAAATTTAATGAAACATAATTACATTATTCACCAAAGTAAACTTACTTTATCCAATGAGTCCACGCTGATTTCTGATAAAGCATATTATATGCAAAGTAATATGTACAGTCGCTGAATCATTATTCCAACAGCAGCTGGTGTGCTGGTCATATTAACTCTCCAGTGTGCTTTCTGACCACATTTTATGAGAAGTTTCCTTTGTTTCCGACTAATCATAGCGTAATTTTAAATGTATTTATGCTTCCTGTTTACTATGTTTAGCTTTTTCGTGTGTGATACTACACATACTCCAAATATGTAGAAAATGTTACTAAGCTGTAAGTCAAAAAATAAAAAGAGTGGAAGCATAAAAACTAGACCAGAAAGTTGTGATTACCTTGATGTAACAAATGCAATAAATTCCCCTCGAAACGTTATCAGTAATTGATATTGTTTCCCTATTGGATACATATAAAAATTAACTATAAATTAACCATAATCAACCACACTGTCCAAATTCTACTTTTTTTATTGGACGCCTTAGATGCCTTACGGTTAAGAGGAAAGTAATTTTAATCTTCATGATGGAAGTTTGCTTCAAATTTCAATGAGTACACACTGAACAGTCAGTGAAAAAGTAGAACTCAGGATGTACCAACAAATGCTTTTGTTAGGATTAAAACCACTATTGAGATATAATAATTCAA